GGGGGGGGGGAGTTGCAGCATCTCGAAAGAAAATGAGGAAGGGGTGCACTCAACGGCAGCCGAATTCCAGTTCCACATTCAGAACCCCCAAAAAAGAACTCGCGATCAGATTCGTTGAAAACATTGAAGCAAGCGAATACCCTCTGTTGAATAAAATGCTTTGAAAAAATGAGGAGCCAGGCAGGAAAAAAATATTTTGGTGAAATTGGAAGAAGACAAAAAGCTGACAGAAGCGAGAGTCGCGCCAAATAATACATTACAGGGCAAAATGCTAATGAGCAGAGGAGGCTTAGAAAAATTCAATTAGCGTCTCCGTGTACGCAAACAGATACAAGTGCAAAGTGGGAATTAATTAGCGAGGCCGAACGCTCACCAGGTGGGCGTGAACGGTGGAGATTAAAGCAGCCGTTTCCATGTTCAGCATTGCATTTTACTCGTGCAAATGTATTGAAGCTTTTTCAGGTGACGTGCGACGAATATCCTTTTTCTTTTCGATGACATCAGAACTGTAAAAGGCAAAACATTGTCCGTTTCTTCATTTTCACAATAGCCGGCCGGCGCGCACCACAGTCACACCACGTTTCGACGCTCAACGCCTTCATTACCCCACTTCAATCGACAAACAGGACACCACACATTATTTATGACCAACATTGTCCGTTTCTTCATTTTCACAATAGCCGGCGCGCACCACAGACATACGACGTTTCGACGCTCAACACCTTCATTTCCACCCCACTTTAATCGACAAACAGGACACCACACATTATTTATGACTGACCGTACTTATCGAGACTGGCTTAATTAATGGCGCTTAACATAGCCTATGTGCTAAAATAAAAGAAACCAACTCAGGCCAATTTTATTGTGACACTGTTTTGGCCGCCGTGTGCATTTCCGATGTTGCTCAAAATTACAGGGAACATTGGATCTGACTCTCCCTCCTTCCATCCATTTCGCAATTAGTAGTCAGTCCTCTCTAGATTTGCACTCATCCCAATTAAAGGCAGTGGGGGAGAGGAGCCAAAGTTTGACCGGCAAATGTAGATAATAATTGCTCCCAAGGCATATATCCAGAGGAACTTTGTCCCAACATCCCGACGCCGCTTGCGTCTCTTTGCCTTGATTTGCATGTTATTAGCCGTCTGATATATTGAGTGTGTATGTCAGACAAAAATGAAAAGTGTGGTGAGAAAGCAAGCCCGATCAGAGATGGACCGAGGGTTGAATATCGGGCCTGAAGTGAAGCCACGTTCAGGTTTGGCTTCTGCGTGCTTCTCCTCGATGCTTTTCGCCCCCGAGCCCTCTTCTGTCCCTCCTTTCATGTCCCCCTCCTCCGTTTCCTGCCGCTGATTTTGACCTGTTTTTCCTTGCTTTCTCCCGATTCTCTTTGCTGTTTGGCTTTTTATTCAGTTTGCTGAAAATCTAGCAACATGGCCTAGGATCACATCGGTTTCAGAACCAGGCTTCTGATTTATTCATGAGTTAAGCAATGTAAACATTGAAAAATTCAACGAACAACCAGATCTTTCTTTATATGTTTATGCTTTCCGCATGTTTCGTGTGTGTCATCAGTGAGGGTGTCACTTTTTTGCACGAGCGGACGCATTCGCTCTGACGCGGCGTGGACGCCCAGTTGATACGCATATCCGCTACCGTGAAGCGCGCTGCACCCACGCGGCGCATAGAGCGCCAAATTTGCTCGAGGAAGGAGGGAGGCAACGATTGCTGCAATGACAGCACTCGACATCTCTGGCACCAGAGGGATTCTTTAGATGGCACTTGCGGAGCAAAGAGCGAGTTGACATGTCGTTCCAAAGACACCATGAAGTAAGAGAGACGAAAAAAAAAAAGGCAAAATGAGAGTAAGTTGGATGTTGATGAAATAAAACGTCGTTGCACAAACCACCAACTCATTAGATAAAAATCGCCCAAAGCTGAAAGGGGGGGTGGGGCCAGATTAGACCACCAACCCGACTTTGTCCAAATTGCACCTGGATTGATACATTGAGTACTCAGCCGACAAGTCAGCATTTTCACGTCCACTTCCTTTAAAAAAAAAAAAAAAAAAAAGACGTTTTTAAAGTCTACGTTTGATTGGTGACAAGTCCAGTGTGTTCGTCTGCCTTTGGTCATCAATCAGCTGGGATCGGCTCCATTCGACCCGTGAAAATGGAGGGACGGGAGAATTGCTGCGCGCACGTTCTTTCCAATACGTGCTGGTAAGCGTCTGTCGCCGGGGGCACCAAATTCACGGAGTTCTCCGCATGACGTTGATGTGCAACCAGCAAACTGGCAAAATGTTCACAGTTTATCACCCCTCGCGAAAATGACTCCGACGGACACGTGAAGCCCGCAGCCCCAATGAAATGAAAACAACACTGCGCTGATCCTTTTGGAAGCGAGACAGGCGGTGGGAGGCTCCCGCGTTTCTGTTGCCACAGGCTCTTTGCTCTGGAAGTGAATCTGACCGGACAGGAAGCGGCAGGTGCGCCCGACACAACAGGCTCGGGACCCTTCATCCACAGCGCCTCAGCTGTCCTTTCCATTTTTGTCTGCTATGCATTTGTCCTCTTGCTCTTGACGTCGTCCGGCTGTGCAAACTCTGCTTGTGTTTTCATGCTTTCCACCCGATTGCTTGGGTGCTACTTGTTCAAATAATTCGACGGCTTTCTTGTATTGCCTTGTTTCTTGACGAGAGAGGACACACGCAACGGCTTCCTCCTCCGCGTGGCTCTGGAGATAGTGCCAGGGGAGGAATTTAGAATGGTGGACTCAGATTGGCTCGAGTTTGGCACGCGTTTCCGCCACATCTGATGGCGGGAATTTGCTCACAGCTCCCCGTTGGCCAAGCCTAGTTATGTTGCCCTTTGAAAGGTAATCGACGGTCCGGGTGGTGTTGGAGGTAGGTGGTGGGTTTGACTGACACTCAGTGACAACCAAAGCAAAACAAACAAACATGCAAAAAAAAAAAGATCTTGGTCTGTCTCTGCGCGGCCCTGTAGTGGTCCGCGGACCGCCCGTTGGGGACCCCATTTCCAAGCCAAAAATGAATCGATAAATATGCAGATTTATGCTGAGATAATAGTGCAGAACTACGCACGACCACTTTTTTTTGTCCTCATTCTTTGAAGTATCGTGTCTTGCTTCTCTCCAGGTCCGCTAAGAGTAGTTGTCCCCACTGAGTCGGTCTCCTCGTATCTCGGCGACACTGCGCTCCTGCGATGCGAGGTCTCGGGGGAACCCACGCCCGTCATCCGCTGGCAGAAAAACCGAGACGATCTGCCAATGACGTTTGACCCCTCCTCTCGCCTGGCGGTGCTGCCGTCCGGTTCGCTGCAGGTCAGCCGCGTCCAGCCGCCAGACTCGGCCACGTATCGCTGTCTGGCCGACAACCCCAGCAGCACGAGGACGGGGACGGATGCTGAGCTGCGGGTGCTCCCAGGTGACTCCCCTTCCGTTGATGCGCGGCAAATACATTGATTGACACCTCGCTGGAACACGTGTTCACAGGATTAGCCACATGCTTTTCAAGCTGCCGATTAAAAAAGGATTACAAAAAAAAAAGTGGAAATAAATGTGGAATTTCCAAAGTCAAACATACCTCGGATGATTAAATTTTTTCCCTCATTTAAAAAAAATGGATTTCCATTGAAATGAGGGTATGTATAAATCCGATCCAGGGTTAAAATGTTCAATTTTTAAACCTTTTTTTTTTTAATGCAAAGCCAATGTTTTAATTGATTGTAATTCAAATGTAAAACCATTCTGAATCATGTAATTCATGAGTGAAATGTGCCGTGACCCTTTCATGTGCAATGTAGGCAGAGAGGAGGGAGGGAAGGAAGGGATTTTTCGTGTCAAGTATTCACGTGACACGTGACCGCTTCGGCTGATGGACAGACTCCATCTGTGAGTTTTCTCCCGACAGTTAGCTCTGTTTTCTGAGCGTTTTGTTTGACAGAAATGTGCACAGTCTTGTAACGGGAGCACTCCAAATGACTAATTAACGTTGATTTTGTACAACGTTGTACCCTGTGACTGCAAAGTGTTGAAAATCAATAGAATTTACAAGTCTGGGTCGAAGGACTCTGAGTGCAATTGTCTCGGCTTTTTCAGAGTAGCATCTAATTCATCTACAACCGAGGTGCCCAATACGTGGATCGCGATTAACCGGAAGCCCGCAGTGTTTTTAATATGATAGATTTTTGTGTTAGTGCACACTGCACCCTGAGCAACCTGCCTGTTTCACTTTCACAAAAAAGTATTTGAAAAATGAAATCAAATAAAACCGCCGGTCACCTTTCACCTACGTTGGCGCAGGATCTGCATCACCGGAAGTCATTAGCGCTCAGCAGTTGCAATTGCAGCTTGCCATCAGAGCAGTTGCGATACATCTTTTTTTCTTTTTTTTTTTTTTAATTACCGGTGTTATTGTCATTCAAAGTTGGCTTCATGTACAATTCACCGACGGCACTGGCAAAGAATGGCAATCTGGAGCGCCAGATGTTAGGTGCGTGTGCATTGGCGTGCGTATGCGCGCGCGTGCGTTGACTGGTCCATCGCAGGAGGTCGGTCGGTTGCTTGAAAAGTGGATCAACAAAGTTTGGGCGGTCGGATCAGTCAAAGCAATAAAGCAAGGTGAACAATCACAAACGTCTCCCGCGAAAGGTTTGATGAATCGAGAGGAAAATCCAAACCTTGCTTTCCAATTCATGATTACAAACCCCAAAAAATGTGGACATAAATATTGTATGTCGTGCTTGGCTCTTGCCTGGCGTTCACCTTATTCAGCTTAAAATGTCAGTGGACACAAAACCCAACGCGGTAAGATAATTCAGCAAGATAATAAATTGAAAGTGACAAGTAAGCCGCGTGGGAGAGATGCCTGGCGGGCTGCGAGAATTTGTGCTTGTGGAGAAAGACGACGAGTGCATGGGTGAGCTTGTTGTCAAACCAAAACAATGCAGAAACCTCGAAAGCTGAGTGTCAGTGACAATACCGGCGTGCATCTCTCAGCTGTGGATAAGAGATGGGCCAGAGCGGAGGGGGCTGGAGAAGCTGTCAAAAATTGACATGAAAAATACAGGAGACTTTGGACGCACGCCCCCGATAGGACAAGTTACACTCGATAATGAAAAACAGTTGCGAGATGGAACGTTGAATACAATGTCTTGAAGATCACATATCTTCTTCCGATATTTTCATTAATTTTCCCTTCGCTGATGCACTGCAACCTGTGATGGGGGATTTTATGTTTTTATTTTTTTATTTAATGGAATCATTTGTGTTATATTTCTTCATATACAGTAACTGTGTTAATGTGCTTTTCATGCATTGTCTCGTGCCTTTCACACAATGACAAAGCATGACTGATTTCAAAAAAAAAAAAAAAAAATGTTGCTGTAATTACAAGAGTCAAATCTAACGATTACATTTTGTCCTTGGCCGAGCTTGATCGGCTTTATGGTCATCCGTTCAAAGTTGTTAAATTGGCATGAAATACTGCTGAAGCATTTATTTTCACTGACGAGGTAGTGAGTCTCAGTGCTTGGTTTTACTTACTTACGAACATACTCACATTACTCTCCCGTTTGCACATTTAATGAACTCAAAAAGTATGTTTTTCGGCATGTGGTTCGAAGCTAGCAAAGCTACCGATTGAAGCTCAAGGACAACATGCAAACTCCGCAGAGAGTTGAAGCCAGATCTGCTGACTGAGAGGGAGCGTGTAGAAGGGGCATCCTGACATCTAAGGTTCCCCCAGGCATAGGAACTTCCGCACAAATCGCTTTCGGATGAGAAAAGGGTCCACGTTTGCACTGGAAAAATATACAGTCGCAAAATAGTCTACACTTGGGTTTTCACATCTTTCTCCCTCTCTCTTTTTCACTCAGAGCCCGGCGTAAACCGCAACCTGCAGTTTCTCCAGCGCCCTTTGAGAGTGACCGCTCTGCTGGGAACTGACGCCGTGCTGGAATGTTCCGCCTCCGGATACCCCACTCCGAGCATTCAGTGGCGGAGAGGTGAAGAAGTGATCCAGACGTGGTACGTCTGCGTTCTAACTCCACTTGAGCCCGTCCGATATGTGGCAGAGGTTTCAAATCCACATCCAGAAAGTCAAAACTCCGCCACAGTTTTACTCGACCGGTAGGTAAATGAGCTCCCCAGGAGCACGCGAAGCTCCTGGGGCTAAAGCCAATTTGCCGGGTTTTTTTCTTTCTGGACCTGGATTTGACACCCCCGTTCTTTGGATGTGCCGGCCCGTATTTGGCTACCAAGGGACACTGTCCCCCGATGTCCATGTAATGATGAAGAAGTGATCATGATGAGGAGTGATGCATTTTGTACATCAAGACTTTCTGTTTTTCCAGTTCTGTGACCTCGGTCCAAATTGTGTTATCCTGTGATTAAAAAGAGTGCACATGCCACACGGGACCGCACAATAATCGAAAACCTCTTGGCCCCGTAGGAATAAGAAGTATTCTCTGTTGGCTGGCAGCAATCTGATCATCAGGAGTGTCACCGATGACGACTCGGGCAGTTTTACCTGCACTGCTGCCAACAAGAACCACAACATCACTGCCAGTGCAGAACTGAGCGTGCTGGGTGAGAAACGACTTCTTATTCACATGTATTTTTGTGCACTGCTCCATTTATTTTGGATGCTAAGAATAAGATAGGCACTGAAAATATAATACCGAGAAAAGAAAAAAAGAATTTGTGCAACAACACAGAGCGAGGCATACGGGAATTTGAAACGTGGACTGTAAAATATCTGCATTGCTTTATAGTTACTGAGAGTGAAGTTCTCATTCAAAAGCATCCTTGATTGATTAGGCCATCGAATGGCTCAGGGTATCAAGGTCTGTTCCCAAAGCATGGTAGTCCACTTAAACAACAATCTCTAAACGCGAAAGAAAAAAGTCACAGTCCTTACTGTGTTCCTTTTGAAAGCTGTTCCACTTTTGAAAGCCCCCTCTGGAAGAAACAAAGCAAATCCCCAAACTGTTAACACACTCACATCCCCAAAAATATAATCAGGAAAATAGAGCAAAAAGTCATCGTTATCCCTCCACTGTGGGGGCAGAATCTCCTCTTCCACTCTGAAGAGGATCCCGGGGGGGAAAAGAATCACATCCAAAATCAAATGCTGTCATAAAATATGTAATGTAAACCTCGTGCTTGCTTGAGAAGCTTTTCATCAATAAAATATGCTTTGATTTATTGTGTGACTGCCTCTTGGCATCTTGTGGCTTTAGATGCTCTCAGCAATCAGTCATATATACACCGTGTATGTGTGTGTGTGCGCGCGCGGATGCTTGTCCGTCCCTGTGTGCCCTGCGATTAGCCGGCAAGCGGTTCAGGGTGTCCCCCGCCTACTGCCCGAAGAAGACAGCTGGGATCGGCTCCAGCACGCCCCGCGACCCTCCCGCGGAGAAGCGGATTAGAAAATGGGTGGCTGGATGGATGTTCTTGCAGCCGCGACTGTGAAATGCCGCCGGCTACCGTGGATAATGTGCTCCGGCTCTATAATGTTCAAATAAAAGGAGTTTGATGGAAGAGGAGTATGTTAAGGAATTTACGAAAGAAACCCGATTTACGAAAGGACCATCAACTTCCATCAAATACCGTGTGAGCATCAGTGTCGTAAACGTCAACTTCCTCTGCCAATGACCGGCTTTTACCTGCGATTTATGGATCCCAAAATTTGGCTCCGTATCCAAGTGGGACAATTTTAACTGTCAACCGGTTACTGCTCGTCCGAGTCTATTTGTGGTGATGCAAAGGCAGACAATTGGAGATTGAGTCAAAATGATGATGTTGGGCTGGTTGCAGACAGCAAATACCGCACTTCGGGAAGTCCGTTTTGAATGAGAAAATGGCTCAGTGTGTGGTCTCGTCAGCAAACTGATGCATGCACTTGACAATCTCATCAGACAATGCCCGCATCGGATTTGACTTTAAATCCAATGCCCTTGCCATCAAAACGCCGATCTTATTTGCTTCTAGTAACACAGTTGAAATCAAACAGATGGAGCCGCTGTTTGTTCTACTCTGGAGAAAATCTGCAAATTAACCTTGGGGTGTTTGCAGTCGTCCCCCCCCCCCAAGCTGGGCCCTCTCCACTCTTCTGTCCTTTCACGCCGTCGTCTCGGCATCCCCTCGGAGCGCGTCTGCGTTCGCATCACATCCGTCTTCTGTTTACAGGCGCCTGTCATCAGTCGCTCTGTGCAAACACAATCATGTTATTTTCAATTAGAAGCAGCGGCAGCATCAATCTGATGATGAGAGTAATTGTCAAGAGTCGAGCATGTCAACAGGAGCGCCACGCAATTTAAGGTTTGGCATTTTTCGGATGCAAACATTGCATCCCGCCACCCCCTCGGAAACACGCATTGTTTCTATAGACGTTCGAGACGTGAACAGCGTGCTTGAAAATGTTCAGCTGAAGGTCATTCTTTTTAAGCTTTTTAAAGTTCACCTGTAGGTAAGCATTCTGAATTCAAAATGTACCGGAAGAGAAACAAGGTTTCAAAAAAAAAAAAAGACATCCTCGGCATATATCAACTCAACTCCCTTTTTATTTATGTAGCGCCGTCGCAAAAGCTGCAGCTGGAACAAAGCGCTTGACAGAACGCAGAACATGAACATTTTTTATACAATCATGACAAGCATTCCTTCATAGGTGAATAAAAAAAACAATTTCATGCCCAATCCTAAATCGTCGGACTCATTTATGAATCTGGACTGATTTCAAGTTTGTTCAGGCCATTACACAGGCAGTGCAGATAGCGAAAAGGCGCAACAATTGGGATCTCCCCACCGGAGACATGACCGTTGGATGGATTCCTGGATTATCCCAAATATCGCTCTCCTCCGAAAGTGACCACTTACAGTGGAATCAAAAGTTCGGACTAAAATTTGCCAACCTCCGAGCTGTTTTCCCTCATTTGCAAAGTCAACAGCCAGTTTGAAAGTGTACTTCTGGTCGAGAAAGGGTTCATGTGGAACTTCACTGACTCTAAATGTGGAGCGTGAGCAGTCATTTTGTGTGTCCGAGTCTCTCGGGCGTTCCGTTTTTGTGTGAGCGAGTCACTCGTTTCCTTTGACCTTCTGTTGCAGGCGAATCATCTCATGCGGTGTCAGTTGGAATTAATAACTGTAAAATTGCTCGCACGGTGCATGCTGCAGCTTTACAAACGGTATGCTTCCGTCTGCTTTGCACTTGGTCCAATGTTCTCCGCGTGGTTCTGTGGTATCTCTTATCTCGCGATATAACAAACCCGTCTCAGGTCGGGCCTGCTTTCACTCATCCAATTGTCAAGTGCGCTGAGTGCGTGTCAAAGAAATGTTGACGGTTGTGTCATTTGTTAGCCAATACGTACTAAAGTAAGCTTTTTCTTTCTTTCTTTCTTTCTTTCTTTCTTTCTTTCTTTCTTTCTTTCTTTCTTTCTTTTCCAAGCGAAGGCTGTTCAAGACTGATGGTTCGTTGTAGCTTGGTGATGGTATTTGATGCTCACTTCACAAGGCAGCGACCACGATAAGATGATAAGGAGAATGGATGGACGTTATGTCTTCTAATAATGAGAGCGACCCGGCTCATTAGCTAGTTCCTATTAGAAACCTAATGAACCCAGAAAAAGGCAAACAGAACAACCGCAGGTGCTATTACTCATGTCACTGCCCATTTCTCTTCAAAGTATCACCATCCTAAAATCCGACACGTTGCATATGTTGCATTAAACTCCCGATATCTCCTCCCTCACCTTATAGGCGGTCTTTTGACAAGGATGAGCCACTCACTCCACATATTGTTTACCGATCTGCCGTAGGAAATTTGTCGACATTTATAACGTGGAACAGTCGCAATATTACAACCCCTGTGAATTACGTTGTGTTAATATACCGTATATATATATATATAAAGCTATATAAAGATGCCAAGCTCTCCTGCTGCGGTGCTTGGCGGCCCGCCACCACTTCCCAGAAACAGTTGCACAGATGAGAAGACATGAAAGCAAAAGGGGGGCGCAGGTTCACAGAGCTCCTGCAGGGAAGGGGACCCTCTTCGGTAAATCGAAAGGGAGGATTTTTGCCTGCCAAAAAAAAAAAAAAAATGCACCAGGCCAACCAGCAAGTGGAATAAACTGTCACAAGTTCTGCCTGATATTTTAGTTTATCATCTGTTCTACCGTTGGTGAGAATCAGCCCTATTTGGCAAGTTTTTAATTTCCTTTCTCAACACGTTTTTTTTTTTTTTTTTGCGAGCGTTAGCAGTGTTCCTGGTTTCTTCCCACGGGGCGAAGAAACTCTCCATTTGGGTGCACAAAGTGTCGATGACCGCTGGACAATCAGACATTTACACAAGGATGGATGAAATCAGGCCTCGATGCCAGTCTCGGCAGATCGTTGCAATTTCTTTCGCTGCATCACAGATGTTCCATTCGGAATAGCGTTCAACACAAGGATTGCCCTGTTTAGTTTCTCCTTGGTACCTAAAATCGGTGCCTTGTTTTAGCCTCTGCAGTAAAAGCCGTCAGTCTCCTTCCTGACTCACGTTTGCTATGTCGACACAGTCTTTAGTTTTCTGTTCTAGCCATGATGCTGCTTGTGAAGCGGTCTGTTTGCTATTGTTGTTTGTTGTCACTCTGAGTGTGCGGATTAATGTCCCTTTGGTCTTGTGTGTTCAGTCTGTTTAATCCATCTCGGTCTGTGGAGGGTAATGCCGCTCCCTGATTCATTCGGCACCACTGCAGGTTTTTTTTTTTTTCATGTGGCCGATGAATAAAATCAACCTGACGAGTCCCTTTGTGTCTTCAACTTTGTCACCCGGGATTTGAACGCAGTCACGTTCCAGAGGAAGAAAGGAACTTTATTTGACGTTTCAGTGCGGCTCGGCCCGATTTAGATCACCTTGGTTAGCGCTATCATCCCCGCGCCGTTAGTTGAGAGCCCAAAAGTGATCCAAATGGACTCAGCAGACTGAATGTGACCTTGTGGAGAAAGCATCTTGCCCAGCTTGTCCGAAACAGAGCAAATGTGTGCTCATCAGTTACAGACATCTGTTCATATTTACCATCTGTCTCTCTTGGAGTGGCAGACTTTCGGGATGTTTGGAATGAATCCTTGGATTGTCATTCCTTTTACTGCCTTCTGTCTTCTTGTCCTCCCATATTTGGTCTGGATATCGTTTTTTGGGTTTTTTTTCTGCGCGTAGATGTCGGACAGATTTGAACAGTGCCTTTAGATTTTAGATGGTTGTGGTGTTGTAGCTTCCGCACTCGGAGTGAAAAATATTGTTGCACCTTGAAAGTTGGATGTCTTACTCTACTGCGGGGGGTGTTTTTGTCGAGGGCCACATCGTAGTTTTGGTTTCCTTCAGAGGGCCGTTGTGATTGTGAAACCAAATAAAATGTGATCGCTTCATATTACATGGACATATTATTTTATTTTTTTACATCCATACCTTGTTGCCATGTAATTGACTGATGATCAGTCCAGTGCGAAGTGCCCCTTTTGCTGATAGTCAGGTGGGGTCGGCTCAGGTTCCTTGATCTGTCATTCACTCTTGCCGACTATCGAGCACTTGTTGAACTCTCCCAGCCCGGTTTGGTTCCGTGTCTCTTATCGGTGTCCCAGCTTCCTTCCAGTTGTTTGTCTGCGGCGGCTTTGTTCCTGCGAGCCGAAGCCGTTCCTCCTGCCAGACAGCTCCGGCTGAGACCGACAGTTAAGACTGGCCTCAGGTGTCCCATCCCAGTTGTGTCTCTCAGCAGGAACAAAATTAAACCGGGCTGTCAGACGCCACGGGCTTCAGAGTTTATTGCCGACGGTAAACATTTACCGTCCGATCCCGCTGCGATGTGGCCGACCGAATGAACAGTCTCAGAAGTCTAATGAAGCGGAGTGAGTTACGAGAGCAAAGGCATCTATTGTTTTGATATGATTAAAAACACCGTGCAAACTCAAATACTGACCACAATCCCTCGTGTGACACTTGTTAACTTGGGAAAAGTGACGACGTGGAGAAACACTTTTTTTTTCATGGCATAATGCACATTTGATGTATACCGTCTTTCCTTTCATCTCCTTGATGGAGAAATCATGTCCGTACTTCCAGTTCGAGAAGTTTCAAGGGGGCTCAGCATTCCCGTTGTTTTGCATTTCCTCTGTCCTGACAACTCGCTCGTGTCGGCTCATTGTCAGTGTGACTGTGCTTGCTTTTGTTTTGTCAACACCTGTCTCTCTCTCTCTCTCTCTCTCTCTCTCTCTCTCTCTCTCTCTCTCTCCATCTGTTTTCCAATCCGCTTCTCCTCACGAGGGTCGCGGGCATGCTAGCGCCACGGCACTTGAAAAGCATTTTAGCAATTCTATTCTTGCAATGATAGTTGCTTTTCGGGTCATTCGTTATTTCGGACATCACACGTGGTCAGACGGGTGCGCAATCGTGTTTCATCGATGTTGCGAAAGGCTGGCAATTGATGGCTAAGGTGCAGTTTAGTGCAGATTTAAAGAGCCTGCTAACGAGTTTACGTTCACAGGGAGAGAAGGAACGGTTCCGCTGAATAGTGCCCTGAGTGTCCTCTACTCGATTCTCGGTGGATTTTATCATTCCGCGCAAAGATAGACACACGCATGCGGATGCTCATTGAAATAAATGATGGAGCTGATTTCCATTTGAATGCTGAGTGGAAGGTGGCGCAGAAAGAGGCGGTGTCATTGATACTCAGACGTAATGTAGTGCGTGTGCTCACACGCGCGTGAATCACAACCGCTCCTTTTTGTTCGCCAGTTGCCGCGCATACAATGAGCAGGAGCAGACAGTATCCAGGTGACGGCGGATGTCTCCATTGTCCGGACGAGCCGGACTGGATTGTGTGTGTGTGTGTGTGTGTGTGTGTGTGTGTGTGTGTGTGTGTGTGTGTGTGTGTGTGTGTGTGTGTGTGTGTGTGTTGGAGGTCAGCTGGTTGTTGATGCTTCTCATTAACATGTGAATGGCTCCCCCTCAGCTGTTTCCCTCAGGATGCAGAAACATATTCCTGTCTTGCCTGTTGTCGTTGGATACACAAAGGGCCGCTAAGAAAGTAAACATGGCTCCTCCGGTGACCAGGTGACGAATGTTCAACATGTAGTATGGCACTTGTTAAAATTCCAAATTGAAAGCAAAGTCTTCATTTCAAGTCAAACATTATTTTTCCTTGTAAAGTCATTTATTTACGTAGCCGGAAATCACGTCGACGTTGACCCAAGAGCGCCTGCGCCATTAATATTAATAATAATAATTAATGCGCTGTAAGCATCTGCAAGGAAACTTCGCATCGCATCGATTCCACTTGTGCGTCGTATATAAGAGTCAGGGTACATGCAATCAGCAAACGCTTCTCTCTTTCTTCATCATTGTAGATGATCAAAAAGCTGGCTGCGAATTTGAGCTCGCATGCTAGCTGGGCACGTCCGCCATCGCTCTTCTGGCCTAACCTGTGTGTGTGTGTGTGTGTGTGTGTGTGTGTGTGTGTGTGTGTGTGTGTGTGTGTGTGTGTGTGTGTGTGTGTGTGTGTGTGTGTGTGTGTGTGTGTGTGTTGGAGGTCAGCTGGTTGTTGATGCTTCTCATTAACATGTGAATGGCTCCCCCTCAGCTGTTTCCCTCAGGATGCAGAAACATATTCCTGTCTTGCCTGTTGTCGTTGGATACACAAAGGGCCGCTAAGAAAGTAAACATGGCTCCTCCGGTGACCAGGTGACGAATGTTCAACATGTAGTATGGCACTTGTTAAAATTCCAAATTGAAAGCAAAGTCTTCATTTCAAGTCAAACATTATTTTTCCTTGTAAAGTCATTTATTTACGTAGCCGGAAATCACGTCGACGTTGACCCAAGAGCGCCTGCGCCATTAATATTAATAATAATAATTAATGCGCTGTAAGCATCTGCAAGGAAACTTCGCATCGCATCGATTCCACTTGTGCGTCGTATATAAGAGTCAGGGTACATGCAATCAGCAAACGCTTCTCTCTTTCTTCATCATTGTAGATGATCAAAAAGCTGGCTGCGAATTTGAGCTCGCATGCTAGCTGGGCACGTCCGCCATCGCTCTTCTGGCCTAACCAATAATTGGGGCCAGCTTAAGCACCGCTTTCAAGCACCAGAGCAAGAGCGAGAGCCAATTTCCGTGGTGGAAAAAGGCAGAACTGCTGCTCATCTGGGCACTGGCCCGGAACTAGCAAGAGCGCAAGCGCGCTGCAAAAAGGACCATGAGAGTTCGATTGCGGACCAAACTAAATTGACTAAATTATGACCAAAACTTTAATCAATCGGAGTCCAAAGACTATGGCTAAAACTAAATGAAATGTACTGTCAAAATGAACACTGGTTGAGTGAATGTTTTTGTCAAATGTACAATTACACCTCTGCATCTTTTCTGAAGGGACATTTCTTCTTTGAGCTGCGACTCTTACTGATTTGAGTTTCGTTGAGGTCGTTTTTTTTGAGCACGGGGCTGCCCAAATCCGGTCCTCGAGGGACGCAATCCTGCATCAGCAAGCTCTGCAGAAGCCCGATAACAATCCCGATTGTTTCAATCAGGTGTGTCGGAGCGGGGAAACATCTCAAGCATGCATGAGAGCGGCCCCGGAGGACCGCATTTGGACAGGGCTGTCATCGCGCTTTCCAAAAAGACGCAGGCTTCTGTTTTCGTGTGTCTTGGGCTCATTCCAGCACGTGTGCTTCGATGGGAGTTGCCGTGTCTGGGCGTGTCGTCGTCGGTGTCGCCGCAACAGCTCCGTGGTTAAAGGAAATCGTTCTTCCTTAATTAGAGCATTGCTGCAGCTCTAAAGTTACACCTCCAGATAATGACGTATTGATGGGAAACGCACACATCTCGTCTTATTTCTAACTTGAGTTCCACTTGACATTTCTTGAAAGTTTTTTACCTGTGTTCATGACCCGACTACACCTTTTTTTTTTTTAAAGATTCATTTTTACATCGCTGTAATTAACTGTGAATCTTGTGTACCTCTGTTCCTTTCATTCTTTCCGCCTCTCATTTGCTCTTTTGTTTGCATTCGCGACTCCTCTTTCATTCTTCCTGCATTCTTTTCTGTATGTGTTTATTTTTTTTGGGGGGGGGGCGGTTTACTGTCTCAAAGCTTACAAAGCGTGGACTCCTCTAAGTGTGTGTGACAGTGACGTGACATTGCTGAATGTCACTCGCGCGTTTGCGGACAGGTTGTTTGGTGTTTTGGAAAATTCAACAGCGTGTCAGAGTGCTCGAGCATAAACGGTCTTTTTAAGGTCATGACACGTCAGTCCAATGGGGTTTACGTCCGGGCTTTGACGAGGCCGCGCCGAAACTTTCATTTTTATTTTCAAGCTGTTCAGAAGTTGAATGGCTTGTGTGTTTTGGATCGGTGCCCTCGTGCAGAACCGGAGTGCACTTTGGCGCAAGGTCGCAAACAAAGGGCAGAAAATTCTCCTTTCAGGATTTTCTGCGAAAGAGCAAAATTCACCAGTCTTGGGAATCGTTCAGATTTTTTTTTTTTTTTTTTTTTTTTTTTTGCCTTTTGCAAAAGTAAGACAAGCCTTTTGGTTATTTTTGGTATTGGCCTTGGAACGCTGCCACGATTGTCATTTCTGCCCAATCTCTTCCTCAATGTTGAGTCCTGAACACTGACCTTCGACAAGAAAGTCGTGCAGTTGTTGAGATGTTTGTCTTGGGTTCTTTTGTGACAACCTGTATAAATCGTTGCTGTGCCCTTGGGTAATAATTCTAGGCCGGCCACTCCTGGGAAGGTTGACACACTATTTCATGTTTTCTCTTCCATCATAAAAGCGCTGTCCGGCCGAAGTTGTTTTCATGTGATTTTTAAATTTTTTTTTTTGTTCAGATTAGCTCATGCGAAGCATAATCCTGAGGTGAAATAAAAAAAGCAAAGGGCATCAAATGAGACACAGACTGACATGCATACTCGTGATTACATGTTACAAAAGTAAGCAGAAGGCTATTCGGGGGTTTGGATATTCTCCTGTTACTTATTTGTTTGTTCCCTTCTGCAGTTCCGCCTCAATTCCTCAACTATCCGACCAACACGTACGCCTCTGAATCCACTGACATTGAGCTGGAGTGTGCCGTGACGGGAAACCCGCCGCCGACCATACGCTGGATGAAGAACGGGGAGGAGGTTATCCCCAGTGACTATTTCCAAATCGTGGTGAGCCCAGAGAAAAAAAAACAAAACATGTACTGCAGAACTTTTCTCTAAGATCCAAATAAACTGTTTATGATGAAAAGAGTAACGCAATTTATCTTCAAAACACTTGAGTGAATAAAGATTTAGAGGCCAAAATAGTTTGCTGCACTTTGTGCTCCAGAGCTGATTTATGAAGACATCACGTTAATGATCCTCATGTAACTGAAAAATGGGCACATACTCCAGGTTT